CAAGACAAACTGGATCAGTAGTTCATTATTGGATTTTATCAGGATATTACTAAGAAGCCACGGTGAATCCTGTATATTTGCTCCGGAAAAGAAATGCCGTTGACACACTTAGTCTTGAGTATTAATTATATACAATAATGGCAGTATTTGAAATTTAAATCAGAGATTCATTTGTGTTCAAGATTGCTGATCGAAGTGTGCTGCAGGTAAGACACAGCTGATGATGTGTCCGACAGTGAAATTTCACACAAACCTTCCACTGATTGATCACCTCAAAAAATGTTGGCCTTCATGCAGGTGTTTCCCCTTTAGATTTCGCATAGTCCTTGTACATGAGGAACATGTTCATCCAACTATTGTGCGGTAACTCCTTCAGCGGCAGCCAGGAAGGATCATGGTTGCAAGAGACCTGAAATGTTGGGCCGACAAGGTGGGAGCCGACCAACCTATCTAACAGCTCTTGCCAAAGATGGTCATCAGCACTGTCAAGCACAGATTTCGATGCATACCTGGATGAAGGAAAATCAACCCAATGAAAAAGATTGTAATTCGTTATTGCCAGGAAACCTGACACAAAACACCTTATTCAGCTGAGTTGCCCCGTTGGCATAGGTTCAGATGCAGTGAAGTACATGTGGATCATGAAAGCATGAACTGATGCACTCTTGACAGCTGGCGCGGCGCGAGGTCCTTGGATGAGCACCGTGCTGGCCAGTGAGACAGGGTTGGAGATCCGATGCCATTAGATCCAAATAGATGCTTTGATTTCATTTTTTCTCAACTAATAATCATCAGCTGGCGTATGAAGAACTGGCATCAGAATTCCTCAATGCAGCGCCATGCGGGATGTGGAAACATGAGCTGTGAAAGACGAAGGTGACAAATGTGCACACTAAAGATTCATCATTTATGAATTTCTGTTGATACAAGTCTCTCTCCTGAACTTGAGGAACTAGTGGGGTCATACCGACGAGGTCCATCTTCCGAACTCGTTTCATCGGAATCCCATCGCTGAATAGCAGGCATCACAGTGGATGGTTAGTTTGTTGACGGGGTACTTCTTATGATTGATTGTGAGTTCAACAAGGAAAACTTTCCTCGGCGACGCACGTTGGTCTAGTTAGATGTCTAACTGGAACTAACTGGCACATGTTGGGGCTATGTCTGACTGGAACCAACTAGAACATGTGGAGGCCATTCAGTTGAGAAACCAATCGATTTTCACCACTGAGAATGTTGGCTAGCTTTTTTGCAAAAAAGAAGTAAAATCACCAAAAAGAGCTTCAGCCGTCATCACGTCCTTACGGATTAAGTAGATGTACAGCCTTCTCCGCGAAGTTAGGGTCTGGACATGAATCCTGGGCACCAGCAGTTTGGAACATATACATACTGTATATTACGGACAACCCGAAACAAGCTAAGCAGGTGAACATTTTTGGTATATGTGCAAATTGGATACGGGTCCATAATCACGCACGCAACGGCATACCTCAGAGAGTAGTAATTGAAACTCTTCACAATCTTAAAATGATTCATGTTGCAATCCTATGACAAGATTTCAGTGACCAGTTCAGTAAAGGAACCCGGGGATGTTCCTTCTAAATGATCGCCAGGACCGTGTTCAACACGGATCTGACTCCCAAAACGTTCTCAAGTAGGCCAATCTTAGTAGCAACCCATACAACATATCAAATAACTCTGGGACAAGAAACATCATTGTAACATCATAATACATTGTATTTCACATGACCTGCAGATTAGAAACCATTAGCCTTGTATCCCGGATGTTGGCCAACACGGCCCAAAGTTAGGAAGTGTTGACACCCCCCAGCATCCTCCTTGTAGACCTCAGCATTGAATAGGGTTGACATGGAAACCCAGCCGTGTAGACCACCACCTGCCCAAAGTACACAGCTATTGCAACCAATCATGTCGACATATCAACGGCCACGACCATGAATATTTTTTGCGTTGATTATTCCCATTTTATATCTCGACATGTTTCAACCTAAGACTGATAATGAGTAATTGAACCAGCCTTATTCAGCAGGTCCTTGCCCATTCGCTCTTTGGTCACATCCCGTCTGCACCTTTGCGCTTCCGGCAGGAATCCAGGAAATAATACGGTCACATTTGTTTAGGCACAGCCCCACACACAGTTTATCCAGTTAGAGTTCAGCAACCACCGGCAGTGCGGAAAGTTCTTGGAAAGCAGCTCGAACTTGTCGTCGTCAAGCTCACTGGAAGTCCTCAAGAAGTGTTTGAAGATCTACTGATATTTTTTTGAAGTACCACTTGTGCTATCTCTAGATAATGACTCAAAACAATTGAGAACCAGACAAATGGTCGAATCCCAAAGCTTTCCACAAGCAACCAAGAGCATCGTAAGACCCCAAAGTGGTGTGTCAGCACCGCTACCTTAAGTTGTTTTTTCAGTCTGCTCAGCCAAGTACTGAAAGTTCCACAATGTTTCACACTACTGTAGTTTGGATGCAATCACTGGCGTAAGTAAAAAGCTGGCCCGGCCAGGAGGCAAACCATGCTGCCAAACCTAACAATTTGATTGAGCCCTTTTAAGGTAACCGAGAAGCGCGAAAGAGGCTTTGCAGCTTTGAGGTTTTGAAGCGTGAAGCGCCAACGAGGCTTTGCAGCTTTGAGGCTTTGAGGCGTGGGACAAGCGCCAAGAAGCGCCAAAGCGTCAAAGAGCTAAGCGCCAAAACGCCAAAGCGCCAAAGCATCCAAGCGTCTTTGCAGCTTTGAGCCTTTGAGGCTTTGAGGCGAGAAGCGCGAAAGAGGCTTTGCAGCTTTGAGGCTTTGAGGCGTGAAGCGCCAACGAGGCTTTGCAGCTTTGAGGCTTTGAGACGTAGGACAAGCGCCAAGAAGCGCCAAAGCGTCAAAGAGCCGCCAAGCGCCAAAGCGCCCAAGCGCCAAAGCGCCAAAGCGCCAAAGCATCCACGCGTCTTTGCAGCTTTGAGGTTTTGAGGCGTAGGACCAGCGACAAGAAGCGCCAAAGCGTCAAAGAGCCGCCAAGCGCCAAAGCGCCAAAGCGCCAAAGCATCCAAGCGTCTTTGCAGCTTTGAGGCTTTGAGGCTTTGAGGCGTGAAGCGCGAAAGAGGCTTTGCAGCTTTGAGGCTTTGAGGCGTGAAGCGCCAAAGAGGCTTTGCAGCTTTGAGGCTTTGAGGCGTGAGGCGCCAGAGAGGCTTTGCAGCTTTGAGGCTTTGAGGCGTGAGGCGCCAAAGAGGCTTTGCAGCTTTGAGGCTTTGAGGCGTGAAGCGCCAAAGAGGCTTTGCAGCTTTGAGGCTTTGAGGCGTGAGGCGCCAGAGAGGCTTTGCAGCTTTGAGGCTTTGAGGCTTTGAGGCGTGAGGCGCCAAAGAGGCTTTGCAGCTTTGAGGCTTTGAGGCTTTGAGGCGTGAAGCGCCAAAGAGGCTTTGCAGCTTTGAGGCTTTGAGGCGTGAGGCGCCAAAGAGGCTTTGCAGCTTTGAGGCTTCGCAAACCTTAGCGGGCCTGATCCCCCATACTCTGATCGTAATTATTCATAACGTGTTGACAGTTCGTGCGGCCATTAAGGAGCCACTAAGTCACTACGGTAGGATTCTGATGGTGGGTGACATTCTCATGGCCAACACAGCTGGAAAACCTATTGCAATATATTACAGTGGGATGCCCAGAATGCCCCACTGAAAGTCGTAACAGGCTTCTTCTTGCATGTTTTTACCTTTCAATCCTTTCACTACTTTTAATGTCCACTGCATTACAGCCCATCATCATCGTAGTCTTCATCATAGTTCCTAAATGTTCCTAATTCTCATCCTCATCCTCATCCTCTTCTTTGTCCACATCCTCATCCTCATCCTCGTCCAAGTTGGATCTTTTTTCAGACACCGCAGTTACCGATGTTGCCGCGGAGGGCTTGCTACTCCTCACCTTGCGATTTGAGGGTTCATGCAGACATGGTCGCTCCGATGTTTTCCCGAGGTTGCATTGTTACATCTGCGGTTCAATTTCCCGCGGCGGCCTTAGGTGGACAGATTGAGAGCCTCTGTCCAGTCACCAGCACGCCAGTCCAGTTTTGTGCTAAATCATTCCAGCAAGCTTCTTGTTTTTGCTTAACATGACACCGTCAAGCCATAGTATCGAAACAGGTCATCGGGGGCAATGAAGCAATCATCGTGCTCATGCCTTTGTCAATGCTCATATCCTGCAGTGAATGATGCAGGAAAGCCTGGTAGGGAGCTAATCCAGTATTTGCCGTGCATTCCCAGGAATTACTCATGGAGTTTGACCTTGCTATAGCTATAGCTATGGGAATGCATGGGGTATCTTAGGCCCTGTGAAGCCTGGACATGGTTGCGGAACTTCCTGTTCGATACCGAAGCCATCAGGCTGGGAAGCAAAGCTTGATGGTCACAGTTGGAAACTTCAGAAAACACATGAAATTCAACTAGTTGATGATCTGGCAGGTGGATTTCAAAATCTTTCATACACTTTTCCCATCATTTTCCCAATGTTTCAGACTTTGTTTTGGGAAGGTGATGCGGTCGGGGAATTTGGATCATCACAAGACCCTGCGCGATCTGTAGGCCGAGCGGTCATTCTTCGGCTGGGGTGCCTGTTGTGATTTTTGCTCAGGCAGTTTTCGGTGTTGTGACGGATTCCACGGAAACGACATGTCCAGTGCTTCAGCTTACAATGCTTACATGTATCATCACGTGTCCCCAAATGTAAGGCCTGATTTCCCACTTGTTTGATGCTGCATCACTTTTTTCCATTGTTACAGGGCCCCTGTAAATTGCAGCAGAAATCAACCATTTGCCTTGGGGATGTCATGCATCCATGGGGGTGAATTTTGCACAACGGCATGCATCCAGCTGTAGCAGGTGAGCCACGGATGGGACTCGGAGCTGCTGGAAAATTCATGAAATTTCCCCATTGAGTTCAATGATTTTCCCAGCGAAAGCTCCATTTCGTGTGGGGGTTCATTGCTGGGTCGAAATCTCTGAGGTTACAACACCAATAGGGGAATGGGTGAGCGCCTCAGATGGTGGAACGGAATACCTCCAATCTGGCGCTCAAAATGGCAACGTTTTTCCTATTCAACAAGGTTTCTGGCTGGGGGGTTCAAATGTTTACTGTTTTCAACAATACTTGGGATGATTATGGGGAATATATATATATATATAAAATACACACACACACACACATATATATATATATATACACGTCATTTTCTTGGGATGTTTCAACAAATTCACCACCAACAACTGGAATCTGAGGAATAAGTACCAAAGACTATCCAGCAATATTGAATTCAACCCATTCCAAGCCATTTGCAAGGGATTCTCCAACCTCAAGATTATTGTAAGTGAACATCATGATTGGTCATCTTTGGGGGTAAAAGCATGTAACAGCAATTAAAAACCATACAATAGTTTCCTGCAGATTTGACCTGCAAGCAATTCAATCATTGCGCGCGCAGAGGTTGAGAAACTGCTGACCGATGACAAGCGTCTCAGCTGCAGTTTTGCCCATCTCGGCCATCGCCGGCCTTCGCCTTGGATCGCCTTGGCCACCTCTGCACCCAGGTACTATGACACGTTGCTACCGAGGCTGCCACTGAGTGGGAAGCTTATCATTCACCGGGCCCCAATGGAAGGGGACCCCCGCGGTCCCAGACAGTCAGGTTTCCATTTAAGTGCCTTGGATGGTAGCCCCAGCTGGCCAATAGGTGTAATAGTTTGAGGGGATGTGTTAAAGCCACGAAATCAGCCTAGAATTTCTCCAGTTTCAGATGCAGTAGTTTCAACCCTTGACCGCACCAGCTGGTGCCAAGTCTCATGTGCCCATTGCATAGAGGTTTTAGATGGTTTTTTCTCGAACGGACATAGAAGGGTCAGTTTGATTGATTGCATGGTTTTTCCATTTTGGAAAAATGTGCGTATATAATCGTAAATAATCAAATACCTAGATCTTCGTGCAGTCAGTAATTTCAGTCTGAATGCATTCAGTCAGGAAATCTGCCCGAATCTGAGGATTCCGCCTAAGGCTCCAAATTCCGCCCGAACCCAGTTTAGCCAAAAAATTATCTTTGTGTTCTCAAAAAATTCGTTACGGCCATTTACGCCTGAATCACGTGAGTTTCCGCCCGAATCACGTGCAATTCCGCCCGAATTCATTTTCCCCAAAAATACAGCATTTCAATGTTTCCGATTGTTGAAACTGAATTCCGCCCGCAGTCAAATTTTCTGTCCGACACCCCCTTCAGGCATATAATGTTGAAAAGGCAGAAATTAATGTCCGAATGAAGATCCAGGTATATATATATATATTATACAATAGCATGCAATCATATACAATCATATATAATCATATAATCAAATGTAATCAAATATAATTAATATAATTGTAGGGAATAAAGTCCGATTCTGCAACTTCTCCGGATTGCGCAACTAGGATTGTGCAACACTTTGGTCGGATTGCGCAACTAGGATTGCGAAACTTGGCTTGCGCAACTTCCAGGATTGCGCAACTCCGCTTGTGCGACTTCCAGGATTGCACAACTCTGCTTGCGCAACTCGTAGGATTGCGCAACTTTGCTTGCGCAACTGCTTCTGACAGATTGCGCAACTCCCAGGATTGTGCAAGTCTGCTTGTGCAACTACGCTGGCCGGATTGCGCAACTCTGCAGCTACACTTACTCCAAACAATTCCAGCCCCCATGGAACCTCAAACGGTTAAGACGATATCGAAATTCCAACCCCCATGGAACTTCAAACTGACTTGGAACGTCTACAAGTTAAGATGATATCAAATTCCCACCCCCATGGAACTTCAAACTGACTTGGGTTGTCCACAAGTTAAGACGATATCAAAATTCCAACCCCCATGGACTTCAAACTGATTTGGAACGTCCACGGGGTTAAGATGATATCAAAATTCCCACCCCCATGGAACTTCAAACTGGCTTGGGTTGTCCACAAGTTTAGACGACACCAAAATTCCAACCCCCATGGAACTTTTAGAGTTTCACAATACCAGTTTCACAATCTGACCCCAGAGTCCGCCTTTAGACTTGCACAATCCTACTTTAAAGTTTCACAATCCGAATTTCAAGTTTCGCAACACAAGTTTCACAATCCGTGCGGCAAGTTTCACAATCCGACTGGCAAGTTTCACAGTCCGACCGGGAAGTTTCACAATCCGACGTTGACCTAATTATAGGTATACGGTATACATGCATATTTCAAGTTAAGTTGAATGGATTTCACAATCCGACGTTGACCTAATTATAGGTATACGGTATACATGCATATTTCAAGTTAAGTTGAATGGTCCCAGCTTTTTTGGGAAAACCTAAGCCGCCCCTTCCCGTTTCCGGATCCCAGGCCTCAAACGCGACATGGCGCTGGAACTGGTGCAGCTTCCTCAACTGCGTCAGGCGACGGATGGCGACGTTTTTTTTTTTGTGCAGCATTTGGAGTTTTTTTTCCTTCCCAGTCTTTCTATGCAGCCTTTCTATTATACAGTCCTTTTATCCGGTCTTTCTATATTTTCCATCAGCGAATAGGGATTTATGATGATTTTTGCATCAACCAACAGTGTCTAGATTGCCGGGGCACCGGGGCACCCGAGGTTTCATCTGGATTCTCTGTGATTTTCTGGGGTCAGTTCATGTCATGTCATTTCATGTTCATAGAACCCAATTTCCTAGCTGAACAGTCGTTCCTGTAGAGGAAAAACCAATGAAACAGCTGAGCCTCTACTGTTCCACGTCAATGAAAACCAATTAATCAGATATGAAAATATTAAAGTCACAATTTTGATTGTCAACCCCATTTCTTGATGGTTAGATCATCTTAAACCCAGTTAAATGGATAAAATCATTTGACATCACCCATGTTTAATTCCCAGGTTAGATGATTACATTTTCAATTTTTGATGTTAACTAATGTCAGAATCATCTAAAAATCATCAGGTTTGTGCTTAAAGAGATGTATACTGCTAAATTATAACGACCCAGCGCGACGTCACTGGAATGGTGGTGAACGTATGGGAGACCGCCCTGCGGCGTGCCTCGTGGGCCATCAAAGTGACATGGGTTTCTTTAGGGTTTGGTTCAGGGTTGTTTCAAGGTGTATTGGGGTCTATTTAGGGTTGGTTTTAGGGTTGGTTTTAGGTTTCTGCAGAATTTCCTCAAGGTTTGTTTTAGGGGCTATTTAGGGTTGACTTAGTGTTGGTTTGGGGTTTATTTAGGCTTGGTTTAGGGTTTTTAAAGGGTTGGTTTAGGGTAATGATGGGTTTCGTCAAGATTTCCTCTAAGGTTGGTTTAGGGTTTATTTAGGGTTGGTTTAGGGTTTATTTAGGCTTCGTTTTAGGGTTTGTTTAGGATTGGTTTAGGGTTTATTTAGGCTTCGTTTTAGGGTTTGTTTAGGATTGGTTTAGGGTATATTCAGGTTTGATTTAGGTTTTATTTAGGGCTAATATAAGGTTTCGTCAAGGTTTGGTTTAAGGTCTATTTAGGGTTTACTTAGCGTTGGTTTAGGGTGTATTTAGGCTTGGTTTAGGGTTTTTAAGGGTTGGTTAAAGTTAAGTTAGGGTTTCATCAGGGTTTGTGCGAAGGTTGGCTTAGGGTTTATTTCGGCTTGGTGTAGGGTATAGTCAGGTTTTGTTTAGGTTTTATTTGAGGTTAGCTTCGTGTTAATGGTTAATGTCGGGTTCCGTCAAGGTTTGTTTTAGGGCCTCTTTAGGGTTTACTTAGTGTTGATTTTGGGTTTATTTCGGCTTGGTTTAGGGTTTATGTAGGTTTGGTTGAAGGTGAGATTCGGGTTTCGTTAGGGTTTGCTTGAGGGTTGGTTTAGGGTTTCTTTAGGGTTGCGTTAAGGTTTCTTGAGGGGCTCTTTGTTGTTGAGGTTGTGTTTTTCCATGTTCCCATGGGTTCCTTAATAGATAGACAGACAGACAGACAGATAGATAGGTAGGTAGGTAGATAGATAGATAGGTAGATAGCTTTCAGGGATGACTGACTCTTTGTTGTTGCCTTTCTGTTTTCCTCCAGGTTCCTTGATCCTCCTCCCGGCTTCCGACGGGTGACTGACTCTCGGTTTCTGACTCTCTGTCTCCTCTTCCTGGTTTCCCTGCATCCTGTGCTAGTGTTCACTGGTGACTGACTTTGTCCCATGGGGTTCCTGACTCGGACGTTTGGGGCGCCTGACTCGGGTGATTGACTCTGTCTTTGTCCGTGTATGGTGTAACCTTATGTAACCTTCCCAAAAAACAGCATTATGTCAGGTGAGTATTGGGAAATATGACCTATCATATTTCACCCAGACAAAACGATCCCAGTGAAACCCATTGGGACTTGGGGATCCACCGAGGCGGCTTCCAAACGCAGCCGCCGCGATCTCCGGCTGCTGGCTGGCGCCAAAGTGCACGTGCTGCACGGCGCGTGCGGGGCTGAGCACCATGGATGGAGATTTGACATGATTTGACCACCAAAAAGGGGAAATTAACCACCAAAAATGGGAATTTAAGTACAAAAAATGGGAATTTAAGCACCAAACATTGGAGATTGAATTGGCAAAAATGGAAACTTAACCACCAAATTATGGGAAAAGTCAGCTAAGTTGGTAAAAAACTAGCTAAGTGAAGCACCTATAGTTATGTGGGTGTATAAACCAATTAACTTTATCATAATGGAGATTTGACGAATGAAAAACCAACGGATAATGGAACTTCATGCTCTGCTGAATTCCTTGAGAAGGCGATGGAGAGAGAGAATGGAGTTTCATGGGATGTTGATACTAATCCGGGTCAACCTTGGCCATTGGCATACCAATGGCTAACATGTTTTGACCGTGTATGTGATATTGGTAGTTATTCACAACACCTATTTTTGTGCTAGATTCCGCAACCAACATGGGGTAATCCCTTCCCCCTAATATATCTAATATTGGATACCCCCCAATCCCCCGGAATACGAAACCTAGGTGGAATGTAAATAGAATTATTGCATTACTTTTCATTTTGGGGTCCAAAGCGTTGGGGGTATTTAAAGTTAGGGGATGGGATTCGTTTTTGCCCCTCAAAAACATATTGGGATTATCAATCACCGTTTGGCCCAGACTGGAGCCATAAATGGATAATCCGAGAATTGAAGGGAATTTGATGGGAAAATGGTCTTACAATGTTTTACAATAAGTAATGATAAGGATTTAATGCAGGCAGATGATGCAAAGCGGTGCCCCATTTGTTCTTCAGTGTTGGGTTTATGATGGCTAGCAGGCAAGCGTCAGGGATGGACAGACATGGGTTTTCCTGTTCTGTACCATTATCCATTGCGGGAGGACAAGAAAGCCGGCTATTCCAAACCCATGGAATCCGTTTTTCAAAGAATTTTGAATGTGATCACTTTTCTACCCAAATTTGGCAAGCCGTGGTTTCGACACATGTTCCTATTCCATCACTCGGATGATAATCCCTATTTGACCAGCGCTGTTGAGATATGTTGAAACCAGCATGTCACATTGCGGGGTACAATCGGATCGTACATTTGTTGCTAAAAAACATAATTCCAATGAACAATCCATATTGTATAGTAATTAGTTTGCATGGGATAGAAACCCACCGGTCATAGTGTGGGACACAGTTTGAAAAATAATCTTGCCTAACAGCTTGTGGAAAATTGTCCATTTATAGATTTAGCATGATTTGCCAATTGAAAAAAAATAATTCACCTATCATTGAGCCCACCACCCAGATCTCCAAACTCTCCAAACTCTCCAAACTCTTTCTGCGACAGGAAATGGTGCAGCGCTGTGGTGGTTAGTAGTTGCCCGGGACACCGAGTGGTCATGGTGTGGTTTTGCCTGGGGTTCTTGTGTGGAGGATGAAGTCGAAACATGTTTTTCCATTAAAAACATGTTTTTAGTGGGACACATCCTTCGTTTTGCATGTATTTGCTTTTTGTATGCTTCTGTTTGAGATGTTCAGCAGCTTGCCGGGCTTGTTTACCACGAATTTTGTTGGCCCTTTAGTGGCCCCGATGGGTTTCTTAAAAACTAGGTATCCCTAAATCCACGGGGCAATCATGATTACCCTCTTAAGATAGCCATATATGGAAGTTAACTCACCACTTTCAGACAACCGCAACCTCTGTGTTATTTGTATGTGTTATATGATTCTATATGCTTATTGTATAATATATCCCCATGGATGTTTTTCTTCCCTTTTTATTTTGTTGGTTAAAGTTAAATCCCATTAAATCCCATAGTGACACTTTTGGGGGACCAAACCGTTAAAATCCTATGACAACTCCATTAAGTTACTATAAGACCCATGAAATCCCCCATTAGCCATTAGTTAAATCCTACTAGATTCCTAAACAAATCCTATTTAAGATCTTATAAAAACATTACACTCATAAAATCCCATAAACTCCCATCAAAGATACAACAAAATAGAGAAAATCAGAAACTCTCCAAGAATTCCACGGCTTCCCAGGTGCCGTAGGCCGTTCCCTGCTGGTGGAAGTGGAACTGGAGGACGGCACGGTAGAGGAGTTGCCCTTCGGATTGGTCCGTCTCCAGGAGTCCAGAGCTCAGCCATCGCATCCTCAAAACGCTCCCAATTCATGGAAATTCCCTACCTTCCATGGTTTTTACTAGTTTTTACCATGGTTTTTACTAGTTTTTACCATGGTTTCGTTGGTGTTTGATATGGGTTTTGGGGGACATTTTTGCAGGGATGCAGCGAGGCGCACGGGGTCCCGGTCGCGTTCGCGGTCGCCGGTGGGCGCCCATTCGCCCAATGCGGAAGCGAAACTGCGCTGGGAGAACTCAGCCTGGAGGGGAGACATTGATATAGCATCATAATATGAATCATACATATGTAGATATAGACACACACACACACACGGATAATATATATATAATTATATAATATTATATACGTATGTAAATACATAGATAGATAATGATAAATATAGATAAATATAGATATATACCTATATGTATAGGTATATAGCATATATATATGATGATGATGATGATGATGATGATGATGATGATGATGATGATGATGATGATGATGATGATGAGGATGAGGATGAGGATGATGATGATGATGATGATGGTGATGGTGATGGTGATGGTGATGGTGATGGTGATGGTGATGGTGATGATGGTGATGATGATGATGATGAATTGGGATTCTGTTTTATAATCCGCAACTGGAATTAACTGGAATGGATTGTTCACACTTGTCAGCATTCCCAAACAATTTGTGAATATTTTCCTTATGAAACTCCTATCATCTCCAAAACGTTTCACAACACAATAATATCAACAATACACAATATATATTCATATATATTCAATATTCCTGTCGGGTTGGATACAGTTTGTTTCAGGAAACCTCGGTTTTTCATGGCACGAGGTGATGAATACCTTCGCCGCGATCGCGACAAGGCCGTGGCAGAGGACAAGTCTGGGGCCCCAGGTGGCTTTCAGCGGAGAAACATTAAAAATCCACTGATGGGTTTCCATAAATGGATGGTTTACAATGGAAAATCCTATTGAAATGGAGGATTTAGAATGGAAAATCCTGTAAAAATGGATGATGATGGATGATTTGGATGGTTTGGGGATCCCCCTTTTTTTAAGAAACCTCCAGATGAGTGTCTGAAAAACATGCTGCTCAACCAAGGATCGGGATATCCTTCATGTTGTGACACCACTAAGAGATCCCTGACGATGATTTTGCTTACGATCAAAAGGCGCTCACCACAGTGGAACGCCTGAGCATGATATACAACTGGCATGTCCTCAAGCCCCCACTTACATCATGGTACATCAGAACTTATCAGTCTTGTAGCGGCCCAATGGAAGCTAAGAGTTCTTCGTAAATACCTTAGCTCGTGCAGTGTCATCTGAGGCAATATTTTAAGCCTGTCCAGAAGCTGAAGAGGATGCTCACGACCAAAGACAAGAGCCGCGCACCCCAGACCATGGTGGTCCGACAGAGTTACTGTAGCAGTTGCCGGTGGTGGGGGTTGGTGGTGGGATGTTTATCACCTACCATCACAATCTTTTGAATTTTGAGGATCATGGAGGCCCCACCAGCTTCTAAGGCTTGGTGTTTCGCAGCGGGCCGGACATGCCAGCTCCAAATCCCAAAGTGCAGGGCAAGGAGGACGCAAACACATCACTTTCTTTCGACCAGGGCAGAGGTGGATCTTGTGGTTTGCCAAGGTTGGCGAAGGTGCAGTGGTTGGCAGTGCACTTGAATAACCCAACGGACCCAACGTTCACGGGGAACATGGTGATGGCGGGCTGGATGGGGTCCCCAGCCCCAGGAGCCCGTGGAGCGCGAGGAGGACGTGTGCCGCGAAACGGAGCCGGCGAAGTCGCTCGAGGAGGAGCGGCGGCAGCAGTTCATGCAGGCGCGGGTGTTTTTCATGGGGGTTTGATGGGATTTTTATGGAGTCTAATGGAATGGGATTTGATATATTTGATGGGGTTTACCCTCTGGTAATTTAACATAGCTATGGAAAATCACCATTTTTAATGGGAAAATCCACTATACATGGCCATTTTCAATAGCTATGTTAGTTTACCAGAGGGTAATTGGGGGGATCTAGTGGAATGGATTGGAATGGGATTTACTTGGGGTTATATGGGAGCAGTTGGAGCTTCTTAAGATGGTTTGAAGGCCGAACATCCAGTGATTCGGAAAGTCTTGGTGGTACGAATCCTGACCACCCACAAGCCCAAACAACGTTTGGGACGAAACGCAAAAGACGCAAAAAAATCCAGTGATTCGGAGGGAGCTAAGGGAGACAAGGAGCTACAGGGAGGTTCCACCGCATAGTTTTAAGATGTTTACCCTCTGGTAATTTAACGTAGCTATTGAAAATGACCATTAATAGTGGATTTTCCCATTAAAAATGGTGATTTTCAATAGCTATGTTAAATTACCAGAGGGTAAGCCATTTTAAGCCCATGGATGTGTCGATATTTTTCCCACATCCTGTCGACAAGCCATCCTGTTTGGAATCAAGACCCCCAACTTACATATGTTCAAGGGTCGTTAAACCATCAACCAGCCAGCCTTTGGCATACTTGCAGATAGTGACGTTGAGAACGGCAATAAAATAATAGTATATAAGCAATAGTCATGAAGCAGCAACGGGCATCACTGACAACCACTCATGGCGGCTTCCGAAGCGAGTGCGGAATTCAACCAGCAATAATGGGAGTATAGACCAGCAACATGGTGGCCTCAAAATCGACCCAAAATTGATCATTCTAGGGAATTATGAGCCAGCAGTAAAGGGGATTATTCTATGCCATATGTCCAATGCAACTGCAAAGAATCATATCAAAGGCGGGAACCGAGATATCCAAAGCTCGATTTAAATGATTCTGAAATGGGTCAGCAAAGCAAAGTATGGTTTCCCCCTTCGAATAGCTGGTATAGCTGGAAAAAGAACTGGTAAACATAAGACACTTGGGATCCCAAGATGGGTAGGGATCAAAACCTACCAAGGAACCACAAGTGATTGATTGTTCGTCTCTTGGCGGACCCTCCATTTGTGGGTGCGAGAAAGCCCAGGCATACTTAGCCCAGAATACATGTACATATAATTTATATTTATATATATATATTATACAACTATGATTTATTATATCCGATAATTATATGCAAATATTGATTCTTAGATGTCAAGCCTTTTTGTGTTTCGCATGCCCGCACGCGGAAAGCGACCCAAAATCCCCTATGAAGTGCGAGATCCCTACCGCACTCCACTTTCACAGATTGACCGCAATTCACAAAAAAGACTGGCAAGCGAGGTTTTTTTTTCCTTTCATTCGTGTTTAGAGAGTATGTAAAATTATGTAAATATAGAGATTATATAAAGATAATATCTGGGTAAATCATCCCCAAATGGCCTTATTTCAGGTTCTTGCTTGCGGGGGGGCGGCCGGCCGGCCAAAGGGAAGATCGGTGGCCTTATTTCAGGTTGGTGAATTATTACCCATAGGATCCATGGTGCTGGTATATATGCTAATTGGGGGTATATTGATGGTAAATGTTACCATATATAGCAGCACCATGGATCCTATGGGTTATAATTTACCCAGATAATATGTCTTGTCCGCCCAAGGACTTTTCCCATTTCTTCCCGGTCAGGTGGTGCAAAAGTACCAGGCTGCTGGCAGCCGGGATACGGTGCGGGCGCCTGCAACCGATGTGTCGTCAAACGTGGCCTGGGGGATCCCCGAGCTCAATGGGCAATGGAAAATCATGGAAAAATCATGGAAAAATCATGGGAAAATATGAGAACATCCCCCAAAAATTGATGATTTTGATGGGAAAATCATCTAAAAATGGGGTGGGGCTTTCCAGCCATGTTTGATGACCCGAGGGTATTTCGCGATTGTGAAATCGTTTGGGAATTCGCGCGGACTATTTTTCAGTTTATTTTTTCTGGGGGGAACCTGAAAGGTCCATTCCAGGGAAAGTGGCCACAGCTCAGAAATGGTACACCAATGAATCCAAGAAATTGCTCGCGAAGGGCTGTAGAGCAATTTAAACTTTAATTACATGTAATTACCCTCTTGGCATTCACATTAGAAAATGGATGAAAATGGTATCATGTATATGGATGATTCATTATAAACATGATGATTTCCCACACGTCCATGGAAAATTAGCAGGTTTCTGTATGCCATGGGACTTCACAAGCTGATCCCTAGACGCCTTTTGCGTCTGAGGCCAGGTTGGAATACCACAAGTGGAATGAGAAGGGTTTCAGTGTGGATGTCCTAGCTGGATTCTTAGCTGTGGAGGCTGTGGAGTGTGGCTTGTATGAGAAATTTAAGGGTTACCCTTTGGTAGATTTTTATCTCATAGGCACCTGGAACATCGCCATGTTTCATAGGCAAATCATCTATAAATGGGCCATTTTCATCCAGTTTCCATAGCATGCCAGCTATGTGCGACAAGAAAACCAGGCTCCTCTGCAAAATGTAGGGAGGGGGTGCCCTCATTTGGACCCCCCGGTGGTGCGAAACGGGTGCGCCATGCCATGTCCCTCTTGAGTTTCTTCGGAAAGAGTAGCAATGTCACCAGGTTCATAATTTTCCCCAATGAAAAAGTTGCAAAATATGGGGCCGTACCCAATTTCCAGAGACTAAAAATCCCTCCTTTGGGTCGATGATTTTCCCAACCTTCGAGGTACCTGATATGCTGCGCCTGGGCTGAGGGGTACGCGGAGTCTGGAGGAAAATCCAACTGGGCCTGCGGCTGGTCGATGTACC